AGTATACCATAAGTTGTTTCGCGTGCGTTTTGGTTGGGCAAATGGATTTCTAAAGGGTTTAACTGATGTTTTAAGTCTCATTTAAGTTTTTATCAAGTTATTATAATTTCTAAATATTTTTGATAACGGCTGATGCTACGTCAGATTATGTTTGACCGATTTGAAACCTGTTATACATTATTTTAGTTGTACTGACTAATGCTGTAATGACAGCTCCGCCATTAATTCTATTGCTTGTATTTATACAACATTATTGAACTTACCTATTAGGAGTGCTCCGATGTTGGATTTTCGGATCCCTCTCTTGTCTCCCCTCCCGCACCAGTTCAGCTGCCGGGCGACGTCAGTGGAGAACACCTTGGAGCAAATCCTCCATACAGTTTTCTTCATGCTTGGCCCGCCACTGATAGATAATCTGTTCGGATCCCTCTCTTGTCTCCCCTCCCGCACCAGTTCAGCTGCCGGGCGACGTCAGTGGAGAACACCTTGGAGCAAATCCTCCATACAGTTTTCTTCATGCTTGGCCCGCCACTGATGGATAATCTGTTCACCTTCAACAGGCACATTTTTAAGTAATATTTTAGCATTAAATTGACCTGTATTCTATACACATCCAGTTAAAAGATTGGAACAATTAAGATTTTGTAGTTTTTTTTTTCTTTTGAAAGAAGCCTCTTATGTTCACCAAAAATGCATTTATTTTATTGAAAATGCAGTATAATTTAATATTATGAAACCATTTATAGGAACTATATTTAACTATTTTAAAATATAACTTATTTTTGTGATGCAAAGCTGAATTTTCTCAGCAGGACATGATCAAATCATTTTAATATGCTGATTTGCTGCTCAAGAAACATTTATTATTATTATTATCAAAGGTGAAAATGGTTGTACTGCTTCATGTTTTTGTGTAAACCATGGTGCACTGCCATTCAAAATGGAAAGTTTGTGGTAAGTAATAATTCTTTTATTTGTCTAGGAGACATTAAATTGAAAAGTAACAGTGAAGCAGAGTTCCTATACATTTTCAGGCTCATATTTCTAATTTTAGCATTATGTTTTCTCAAGGTAATAACATACAGAGGCCCTAAATGGACCTTTGCAAAAAAGTAAAAATGTATAGCCTTTCGTGTGTGCTTGAGAATAATTTTTTTTACATGAAACAGGGCTCTTTAATAACATGCTTAAATTAACACGAAAAGAAACCTAAAATGCTTATAGCCTACAAATATTCACCTGTGACACATATTGTAAATGTGGTTTGATGTTGCATGACAACCAAACAGCAACGTACAGTCTGATATAGATGATTGTTTGCTCCTTTTTTGTTGCTGGTTTCCTTTATCAGTATCCTATGCTGTTTTGTGAAACTCGCAATGCTTTGTAATGGACCCTTTTCACATTTCCGGGTTTCTCAGCAGCGGAAGTCGTCATAGTTGGGTTAACTTGAAGAGCAGTGAATGGGAGAGTACCACAAATATATTTTTTGCTTTCCCATTTGCTCAAATAGCAAAACAAAAAACTCCACGATAGTGTTTTCGTGACTTTCAATAAAAGGAAAAAAATTGAGAGAGACTGATAACGGCAGTCAGAAGAGAGAACAATGTCAAATTTACGGTCTCTCCCATAGACGCTGCATTAGAAACACCCTCGCATTAGCGTCAACTGTTTTTTTGTAATTTGACGCAAAGGTGATATAATACAAAGAATAGTGTTATAAATGTACGTACGGAAACTTAGTTCTGTGTAGTATTTCTGCATTCCAGTATCCCTATACTAATATTAAAATTTCTAAAAAATTAGTACAAGATTTATTTCTTGTTGTTTTCTTGGTCGTGCGCCATTGGTTTTTGGACTTTCATGATTGCCCTATTGTGGTATTATATGAAATGATCACTTTTCAAAATGACTATAATTCCAAAGAAACATTTTTTTTTTACATTATAACAATTAACAAAGAATTAAAGGCACAATATGCAAGATTTTTTTATTAAAATATCCAAAAACCACTAGAACAGTGTTATATATTTTGCTGACTTGTGTACTTACATTATCCCAAATGTTTCGAAGAATGTTTAAATCCAGAGAAATAATCAATTTTAACTAGTGACACGGACCGTGTCCATAGTGTCATTGTTTCGCCTGCTAATGTCATAGCAGTCATAACCCCCTCGATTTCCAGTTTTGTTTTGTAGAAAACATGGAAACGCCAAAGACGCTTTAATATGTTGTGCGTTTTAATAGACCGGTGACGACCGCACAGAGTAGCATTATAACAGAACTTTCAAATGTATCTAGTATGATAAAATAGCGCTGCTTTTTTCCCCCACATACGCACGACCGGAAGGAGCGGAAGCGGTCGACTGTGGCATAATAAAAGCTCCGCTGCTTTTGAGGCGTGTGTCGCGCTCGTTCAGCGGCCTCGTTTCGCTTCGACGGCTTTCAGCCTCTGCTTCATTCTACTGCGTTAATAAATCATTAGCTCATCCATGAACATGATTTCTGCCTTAGTCCCGTCGGATTGCATCGGCTGTGGGGATGAAGACGACAACTCCCATGATTCCACACTCAGTCACGGTGTCATCAAACTACGCTACCTGGTATTTGTTTATTTTGAATACGCGCCCTCCAGCGGCGAAAATTACATATTGTGCCTTTAACATAATGAATATTATATTGTTAGCAAATGTAACGTTGACTAACTATGTTGTTGTTGTTATTATTATTATTATTATTATTATTATTATTGTTATATACTTGCACACACGCCCACCCCTCAAAAGGCTGAAACCAGAGCCCCCCAACATAACATCCGATTTTAACCCCTGCAAATCAGTGTTATTTCTAATTTTCAAAGAATCCTGGAAAAAATAAATAATTATGGTTTCCATAAAATATAATGAGTAGCAAAAACTGTTTTTGATGATAATTAACACTGATAAGATGAACCATTATTAATAACTGCCAGTAATAATTGCTAATAACTGAGCAGCATCAGCATATTATAATGATTTTTGAAGGGTCATGTGACACTGGAGGCTGGAGTAATGAGTATTTAAAAATATTTTAAAATAACAGCTTATTATTGTAACATTTCAGAGTATTACTGTTTCTGTTATATTTTTCATAAATAATTGTATATATTCGCAAATAAATGGAGTGAACATTAGAGACTTCTTTCAACAACATTTCACCTTAATCATTCCATGCTTTTGACTGGTAGTGTGTAAACATGCACACACATGTTAGCACACAAACAGTTTGTTTACATTTTGTTAGTAGTTGTAGGTTTGACAGTTTCAGTGATTCTTACCATTCTCTGCATAAACCCTCTGTCTGACAATCTTTGTTCCAGCCTATCTAGGTCTGCAGTAGATGCTAGAGGAAAGACACCACCCTCTTCCTCTTCAGCCATCTGCATTTGGGGTACAACACGCCTGTTCCCCACTAGAGACTGGACCAATGAAGTCAGATGGTTGATCTTCATGTCCATTTTCTCTAGTGTTTCCAGAATTGCCCTTTCTTCAGCTGCAATACAGAAGATAATTTAATTTGGTATGTAGCTTTGATGAATGAAATGATGCATTTTGCAACTTATTTAAATTAATAAATAACGTACGTGTACATTGATTTGGTACTGTACTCAAGACTGGATTTTCCTGTCTCCCACCAGAAGTACCTGTAAGTATAAATTTACTGTAAGGTTTTAAATGTTAAATGTAGTGTTACATGCATCTGCCTTGATGGATGTTATCAAAAGAATGTCACATTATTTAGGGTAAAATGTTTACCATTTTCAAAAAAAAATGATCCTGATCCATATATGCATTTCAGTATTTTCTGGTTTGCTAAAGAGACACACTGGAGCTCAAAATGGAGTTGGTAAGTAAAAACGTAAAGTAATCTAATGATGATGGTTTTCAACATCAATTAAAAAATAAAAAATAAATAGGTAACTTACTCAGTGTTCTTCCTTGGTAGTCACCTGAGGGTCTCGGGACAGAAAAGGTGTGCTCTATGGATTGAACACAAAATATTATGTTATTCAGTTTTAGATTGTGTGAAGGGCTGTGAATTAGTGTTTTCTCCTTATTCTAATTAATGTTCTTTTACCTTGTGTGTCAGGTGGATAAGCACTCCAGCCGTCTCCATGATGGTCTGCCTGAGAGATGCCCACTGGAGATGAGAAAGATGGAGTGGGTAATATTTGCTTGTTACCAAAACAAATAAATACACACTAAAATGAAAACCAAATTTCAGAAAAGCATAAAACATATTCGTATAATAACTGTAATAAGAGTTTGGTTCATTTATTATTACGTTGACTACCAAAAATCTATATTGGTATTTTGTTGACAGCATGAGGACTCTGATGTGAATTTCACAATGGGAATGTTTGCTGTAGTCCAAATCTTAGTGTGATTTGTTCTTGTGCCCAGTTGCATGAAAGCCCTAAAGTTAAGAAAATCTTTGTCTTGTGTAGCCAGGCCTTCAGGCTGACAACAGAAGGTCTGAACCCCTTTGATTGCCCAAGGACCATCCGAGAGACCATCTGACTGACAGGTAAAGCAACCAATCACGGTTCATTGTGTGTAGCATCATCTTTAGGGGCATGCAAATGAAAAGTTGATACCACTTCAATAACTGACTGACATGTAAAACTCTTGGACGTATTTTAAAACGTTTATGCGTATACTCCAGTATTTAGTTTATCATGGTATGCACTTATTGTCAAAGTTATAAATACAGCGGCTCTTTTTTTTTTCCTAAAGGGGATTTAGCGTCACAAAACACTTTGTTTTCCAGACAGGACGTTAAAGAACGCGACACGCATGTCTCCCAGAAATCCTGTAGAATTCAACCAATCAGATGACTACTTTGAACCGGCTGAAGTGTTTCCATTTAAAGGGATAGTTCACGCAAAAATGAAAACTATATGATTAATTACTCACCCTTGTGTTGTTCCAAAGCTGTAAAACCTTTGTTCATCTTCGGAACACAAATTAAGATATTTTTGATGAAATTCGAGAGCTTTCTGACTCTGCATAGACAGCAAGCGTCCTACCAAGTACAAAGCCCAGAAAAGCAGTAAGGACAACGGTAAAATGGTCCATGTCACGTCAGTGGTTCAACCGTAATTTTATGAAGCTACGAGAATACTTTTTGTGTGCCAAAAAACCTAACATAATGACTTTATTCAACAAGTTTTCTCCCCCGAGTCACCCCCTGCCACCATTTTGGAGTGTACCACTACGCATGCGCGTGCTTTCCTCTGAACGTAAACAGGGTGCATGTGTGTTCTCTGTCAGCAGCACCACGCACATGCATTGCTTACATGCAGATCAAAGCATGTGCATGTGTCTTGATTTTAGTTTTTTTTTTTTATGCACAAAAGGTATTCTTGTAGCTTTATAAAATTACAGTTGAACCATTGACATCACATGGATTATTTTAACGATGTCCTTACTATGTTTCTTAACCTTGATTGTGGTAGGACCCTTGCTGTCTATGGAGGGTAAGAAAGCTCTCGGATTTCATAAAAAATATCTTAATTTCTGTTCCGAAGATTAACAAAGGTTTTATGGCTTTGGAACGACACGAGGGTGAGTAATTAATGATATAATTTGAACTATCCCTTTAAAGGTTCAAATGAACAACAGAGCGCAAACCAGCTGCGATTTTAAGATATAAATACATAACCTATAATAAAACTTAACCTATATAATTAACAGTAAAGAAAAAACCATGTCTAGTGGTTTTGTAGCCAACCATCAAACTCTGAACATTGAATAACTTTTAAAACGCAGTGTTAAGTGCGACATTATTCACAAACAGTGTTATTGGTGTCCTTTGTGGTTGTAACACTGATTAAGCAATTACATGAAACATGATGCATTTTGTTAATTTGTGTTTTATTAAGGCTGGATCACACTACAATACCCTCTAGTTAAAGAAAATTCTATTCCAAATGCACCACAGATGAAGTTGTCAACATGATGTAAATGTTAAACTAATCACTTGGTAAAGTTATTTAATGTATGTTTAAATGTCATGATTCATGACAGGGGATAGGGATAGGGAAGTTGTGGCCTAATGGTTAGAGAGTCGGACTCGTAACCCAAGGTTGCGGGTTCGAGTCTCGTACCGGCAGGGATTGTAGGTCGGGGGAGGACAGCGCTCTTTCCCACCTTCAATACCACGACTGAGGGGCCCTTGAGCAAGGCACCGAACCCCCAACTGCTCCCCGGGCGCCGCAGCATAAATGGCTGCCCACTGCTCCGGGTGTGTGTTCACGGTGTGTGTGTTCACTGCTGTGTGTGTGCACTTTGGATGGGATAAATGCAGAGCACTAATTCCGAGTATGGGTCACCATACTTGACCACATGTCACGTCACTTCACTTCACTTCAGTCAGTGAGTAAATGATTATATTTCAACAGTGAATTAGAGTAAAAGCATAATTTTGAAATGAGCTTTTCCAAGTTAATGTAAAAAACTACCCTATGTGCAATTTAAATGTTTGCATACAATTTTGTTGATTATTATATAATCTAAAAATGTATTGCAATTTAATACTTTGGGTTCCGTTAAATGAAACCTTAAATATAGTAATGTGCAAGTAATTGGACTCCCTATGTAATTTATGGCATTAGCTGAAATTTTTTATCCATTAAATAATTTTGGTTATAGTTCATTTAAGAGAGACCCAATTTGTTCAGTAACCACTGTTTACTAAAGAAAGCAATTTTGATTATTATTTTTTTCTCCTGCTATACTAAAATCATACCGAACCATGATTTCAAAACTGATGGTATGTACCAACATAATTTTTTTTTTTGGTGTAACGTTATGCATGTTTTTGTTGTTGTTGTTGTTGTTGAGCTGTAACTTCATTGAAATTACTTTTGGAACGTGATTAAAATGGACAATATTGCTGTCATGTCCTATTATACCCTACATTTTTATATAACCGGGTTCCTCAAATCTTGCCCTGGAGGGCCAGTGCGCTGCAGAGTTGAGTGCAACCCTGATCAAACTCACCTACCTGCGATTTTCTAATGATCCTGAAGACATTGATTAGCATGCTCAGGTGTGTTTGATTAAGGTTAGAGCTAAACTCTGCAGGAAAGTGGATCCCGTGGGCCAGATTTGAGGATCCCTGTTATATAACATTAAATCCATAACAATATTTAATATGATTTGAAATGGTGTTTAGTTTGATTTAGTTCAATTTGACTAAAACGTGCAGATAATTGTACTTTCAGAACAAACAGCTTCCTGTGAATGTTGCAGCCCATCATGTCTGTATTCCTGGACATTGTTAAAGTTATCAGACATTTAGTTTTTCCCCTTCTTAACTTACTCAGTGTTCTTCCTTGGTGGTCCCCTGAGGGTCTCAGGACAGAAAAGGTGTGCTCTATGGATTAAACAGATCATGCATGTTATATTATCCGGTTTTAAATTGTGTGGAGGGCTGTGAATGAAGTTTTTCTCATTTTTATCTCCTTATGCTAATTAATGCTCTTGTACCTTGTGTGTCAGGTGGATGAGCACTCCAACCGTCTCCATGATAGTCTGCCTGAGAGATGCCCACTGGAGCTGAGAAAGATGGAGTGGGTAAGATTTGCTTGTTACTCAGACAAGTAAATGCACATTAAAATTCTAGCAAATTGAATTTCAGAAAATAATCAAAACAGAAAAATATGTATTAAAATCTATTTTTAAAGTAAAATCATGGCATCAATGCCATCCAGAAGAAAAGAAGTCAGTAAATGGTAACATGCACACAATCCGTCAAAACTTTTTGAACAGTAAGATTTGTAATGTTTTAAAGAATTCTCTTCTGTTCACCAAACCTGCATTTATTTGATCCAAAATACAGTAAAAGCACTAATATTGTGAAACATGTTTACTATTTAAAATAACTGCTTTATACAGTAGTCAACATTTGAAGTGGTTCAAAAAAGTGAATCAAAGTTGTCCTAAGACAAGAACACATTTTGGTTTTAGAACAACTTTGATGAAAGGTGTTGGTCCACTTCATATGTTGACTACTGTATTTGATTATTTTAAAATGTAAATTTAACTCAAAGCTGAATTTTTTGCATCATTACTCCAGTTGTAGAGTCACATTTAAGCTGTATAACTTCATGAAGTTAAGTACTAGAGGTAGGAATGAACTGGTTTAATAAACTGGTTCAAATACCTGATTTACCAGTTGGCCAAAACTGGCATCAAAGTATAATATACGCTATTGTATACATATTGTTTTTTTATTTAAAAAGTCACTGTCAGGCGCATCATGAAAATAAGTTTTGATCGAATTTTGATACTGTTTTTCACAGCAGAACTAGTTATCCCTTGGTCATTCTAAGGGCCCTATTTTAACGATCTATGCGCATGGTGTAAAGCGCACGGTGCAATTGCGCTTAGGGCATGCCCGAATCCACTTTTGCTAGTTTAAGGACAGGAAAAATGGTCGCCGCATGGTCTAAAAGAGTTGTCCCTATTCTCTTAATGAGTAATGGGTGTGTTTTGGGCATAACGTGCCATAAACCAATCAGAGTCTCATCTCCCATCCTCTTTAAAAGCCAGTTGCGCTCGTACCATGGCGGATTCGTTATTTACACGGCGGTATTTAATTTTTCATTTTTACAAATGTTTGTGTGCTGCTGCTTACACCTGTGTGTGTAATAAGCAAAGTGTACGCGCGTTGTGCACCTGCCTATAGGGACCCCCTGAGGGTCTCAGGACAGTAAAGGTGTGCTCTACGTATTATACACAAAATATTATTCAGTTTTAGATTGTGTGAAGGGCTGTGAATGCTGCGGTCACACTAGACTTTGAGCATGCAAAGTTTTCTTAGACGCTGCAACGGTCGTGATATGATGTCATGCTCTGCAGCATTGTTTTAAAAATTTAAATTCAACACATAACGCATAATAATACATTTAAAATGTAAAAACATACAATCTACTTCACTTTCCTGCAGCACTGCAGTTTTACATTCATGTTCTTTTAATTCAGCTATTATGCTGTGATGTATCAAACTGCTGTTGGTCATACAGTTTCACGTGATGTGAATTCGCAGGTCAAGAGTTCACCAAGCTTGAACTTTGGAATGCAGCGAAATGCGAAACTTTTCACACAAGCTTGCGTTTCCGGTTTGATGCGTACATGTGT